TGCTCCTTCCCAGTGTGTCCACTGCTCCTTCCCCAGTGTGTCCACTGCTCCTTCCCAGTGTGTCCACTGCTCCTTCCCAGTGTGTCCACTGCTCCCTCCCAGTGTGTCCACTGCTCCTTCCCCAAATGGTCTGTACTATTTCTCTGATTCCATGAATGGCCCTTGGCCACCCGGGGAGACTGACATTAGATTCAGCTGTGGCTCCCCCAGCTACAAATAGGATTCTGGTTCATGGAGAAAGATGAAAAGACAACCAGCCCCAGGGCAGGGAAATCTGAGTCACAGGACAGATTTTTCTTTCCAAAATTTAAAATTACCACTCTGTCCCTCATTTTATGGGAGAATAAGAGTGTGAACTGATAAGGGGAGCAGACTTTTAGACAAAGCCCACCTTGGTCTAATACCCACCTGGGCTCTTCTTGTGTCTTAATCTCTGTGAAGCAAACATCTAACACCAGGCGTAACTTTAAAATTACTCATCTGACTAACTCAAAGAAACCACTGGAAAAATTACATAGAAACCACAAAATAAAGAACAACTCCAAAAAGGCTGGAAGGAAGAGTTGAACAGTTCTGGACTTTGAGGAAGGTTTTTATCCTGTGTCCAGAATGAATAAAATGACTCACTCTCACCTCTTATTCTTCTGTAGTCCCATCAGATAATCTCTGCTCTACCCAAGTTTCAGATGGCCCTGGGATGGCTCAACCCACACAGCTCTGAGCCACATTCCTTTATTAGATAAGGATGAGAATCTCTCTGTTTAATATGAATACTTCTTCCTCACTATGATCTTGTTGATCATACATCACCAGACAGAAAACTAGGAAGGGCAACGGAAGGCCTCGCAGCCTTTACAGGTATATCCTTCATCCTAACTCCACTTCATCCTCAGCCTTAACTCTCCTCATCCTCACTCCTAACTCCACCTCATTTTCCTTCCCAGTTCTATTCATTCTCAGTCCTAGCTCTACCACAGTTCCTCTGAGATCAAAACATGGGAACCACCATGACTTCCAAACTGACAAACGCTGCTCTGAAGCTTTGTGAGAGAGGACACTGGGCAGCAGACTTCTGCAAGTCATTTCCATTTCTAATGCTCTTGAACCTGCTCTGCACTTCTTGTTAAATCTTAACAATTCACAGATTCCCAGACCTCAGGATTCCTCCTCCATCACAAGCAAACTGGTAAGTATCCTATATAAACTGGCCATGGGACTCTCCCACCTCGAAATCACCAGAATGACATACAAGCCAGTCACTTACTTGCTTTCATCAGAAAGTCCAAAGCAATTCCACTCAACACATCTGCCTGTTTAGTTGCTTGGATTCATTTTTTTGAGCTAACTCATTTCACAGAAATGTTAGACTCAAACATAAAAAAGGATAAAATTATGTCATTTTTAGGAAAATTGATGAAACTGGAGGTTATCAAGTCATGAGAACTAATTCAGATTTAGAAAGACAAATTTTTGCATGTTTTCAATCATATGCAAAACTGGGATTAAAAACATGTGACCTGACAGCACAAAGGGGACTATTCACTGCAAGGGAGGGGACAGAGAGGAAGGAGGAAGAGCAAGCATATGTATTGTGCACATACACACGCATACACACACACACACACACACACACACACACACACACACACACACAATATGCAGTTAATCATCCCCTAAGTCAACATTAACATTCTTCTATTGCAAAGGCAGACTGAAAAGGCATCTGTACTCTTTAAGGCATTCTAAGCAAGCATTTCTTTTCTGTATTTTAGAGAGAATAATGGATTCCAAATGAATATATTTTAAGGGGTCAAACTGATTCAAAGTTGTACTTTTGAAGAAAACATCTTATCCTTGCATTTTAAGAAACATCACACAATGTGTGGAATCTGGGTGGCCCTCATCTAAAATCAGACCCATGGCACTATCTACCATGGCTTCAATATGAAGCATTCATTTTGCAGAGTTGGCATCAGATGAACTTTGTAATCTAAGTCCTTCACTGTAAGATCTACCATCCAGCTTTGGGAAGAGCCTACCTGAGAAGGGCTGAAGACATGTAGTGCTGGATCTGTGTGCGAGTTCTGTATAGACTTCTAGATTGCTTTATTTTGTCCACAAAATATCTAACAGGTTTTTGTCACGCCAGATTTATTTTTACCATCCACTAATTTATCTTTTTAGTGTATATGTGTTTTTAAAATACAAATTCAAAAAATATTGTCATATTTTGGAAATAAACTATAGCTAGGTACAGTTTATTGAGTTCCCTGAGCAAAACAGGAAAAATTATGCAAAGGCTTTTTTTTTGGTAGAGAAAAAATGATCTTAAAAGATTAACAGTTTGACATCTTTAAATATTAAGATATATATTTTCACAACATAGAAACCTCTCTTTATTAAGAGGGAGATAATATTAAAACTGATGCAAGCTAGTTTCATTAAAATCTCTTCCTTTGTGCTCTATGGGGTGGAATTAAATGCTTTTAACTGTAAACCAGCTTTACTGATTCTAACATCTTCTTCCTGCTTACTTGTGCAAAACAGCTCAGCTAATTTAATCTTCTAATCCACCCACTGCTCATGTTTCTCTAAACCCTCTCCAATTGTTTGGCTTTACCCACACTGAGATGTGGGTGTGAAAATATTCTGAAGAACGTTCATTTCCCTTAAGAAACACTGGTTCCATGGTGTGCTCACAGGCCTAGCTGCAGCATTGAGGAACCAAAATTCACGGTTGCACTGGCCAAAATTCTGCCTTTGAGGGCTGAAAATTCATTACTCATAAGCAAGCAGGGGGGATAAAATCAAAGGGAAAGGTTATTGCAGCTGTAAGTTTCTCTGGTCCTGCCCGGCCCTGCCATCAGGACGAACCTCTCCCACCCGAGTCCCACAGCTGCTTATAAATAATCACTCAGAGCCTTAACATTATTTACAAACTTATGGCCATGGCCTATGGCTCAAGTTTTTTGCTAGCTAGCTCTTATATCTTAAACTAACCCATTTCTATTCATCTATTTGTCACCACATGTTCCATGGCTTTACCTGTGTGCCATTACATGCTGCTCCCTCGACGGCGGGATGGCGTCTCCTCTGTGTCTGCCTTTCTTATTCCTGTCTCTCTTCTGGAATTTCTGCCTACCCCTAAGCTGCCTTGCTATAGGCCAGACAGCTTTATTTATCAACCAATCAGAGTAACACATATTCACAGCATACAGAAAGACATCCCACAGCAAGTTATGACTCGGGAAAGGTGGAATTCTTCAGACCCTGAAGGATATCCACATAAGTCTAATCCGGATAGATGCATGAGTAAAGAAAGAACTGAAATGTGCTCCAAATAGGAGCATGTCAGGGATAAGAAAAGAAAAATTCAACAAAAGGAACAAACAAACAAAGCAGTATGATCTGGGTCTACAGAGGGCATAACAAGGAAGCTGCAGTAATGCGTGAAGAATTCAACCAAGGAAAGGACACTTTAGCTCCTGGATGGCAGGAGGCTGAAGACAAGTTATACCCAAGAATAGGAGACAAAGGAGCAGATGATTCAGTAGTTCACAAGAGGGAAGAGTGTGGTCTGGATACAGGTGGTGCCATAAGGGCAGTGATGGGTCTGAGTCACCATCAAAGGCACAATCAGTAACTTTGTGGATATGGAGAAAGGCAAGGATGATACTCATGCCTGTGATTTGGCAAGTGGGTTAAGTAGAATACTAAGGATGAGATTTGATTTAGGAAGAAGGAATTATAGGGAAGAGCGGAACCTCAAGATTAGCATTGGAAATAACAAGTTTAATGAGGCTGCAGGCATCCTCATAAAGTCCAGGAAGGCCACTAAAGCTGTGAAAAAGTTGACACTAATGTAAGGGAAGGAATGTAAAGAAACACAGCCTATGTAGAAGAGATGGATAAAGAACGGTGGTGGGGCTGTGACAAGGGAAACCAAGGGGGTTAGAGAGGAAGGAGTTTGTGAGGAGGCAGAGTGCTCAAAAGCTTCAGATCAGCTAAGAGACAAGAAAATAAGACTGAACCCAACAGTAACATAGACTTAGAGTGAGAGGTATTGAGTAAGCATGCTAATAATGTAGACTTGAGAGGGTAGAAAATTAAACAGGAGGCAAGAATCCTACAGTTACTGGTAGCTCTATACTTCTTTCTAAGCTCTGCAATATTATCTTATTTCTCTGCTACAGTGTTGACCAACTCATCTTAATTTAATTGATTAAAATTGTTCTTTAGCAATTCCATACGTGTGTACTATGTTTTTTTGGTTTTTTTTTCGAGAC